ATTTGATTTGCTCTTCATCAGTGGATGCTTCTTGGGCATAGCTTTCTTGACCTTTTTCTCAAGGTAATGTGGTGTAAGGCCAGCCCCAAGCCATCTTTGAGCCCAAAGGTACTTGTTAACACAGATGTTAATAGTAACAGACTGTCTCAGGGCATGATTTTCTATGGGGAAACCTCAAAATGATTCAGCTGGAGTAGTACCAGGCCAAAGATGAATGAGCCTAAAAATCCTACTTATCATGTAAGCACACTTATCGTAAGTTATGGATATCAGCATTGTTTGTTTCACAGCAGTTAATAAGGAAAGCATACTGTGTGGGAGTATAGTTATATTTGTCATTACTGGTTTCTTTCCAGCTGCCATGGCAAAGAAGTTTAAGACAAAAAAACCACAACAGAACTTGGTAAATAAGAACAAGTCTTCTGTGCCTGACTCTGTAGAATAAATGCATGACCTCTACATAAGGGTCTTGAAATCTGAGTTGAGATAAATAGAGCCAGACCCTCATATGAATAATGGTTATCAGAGGAAAGACAATTTATTCCCCTATATTTAGAATCTCTCTAGAACCTCCCCGAACTACAGAGTGTAGAGCTCAAAATCTGTTTCTCATTCTGGCAGAGTTGTGGCTGCTCCATCCTTGGCAGTGTTCAAGGCCAGGTTGGACAGGGCTTGGAGCAACCTGGTCTAGTGGAAGGTGTCCCTGTCTGTGGCAGGGGGTTGGAACTGATGAACTTTAAGGTCTCTTCCAACCCAAACTATTCTATGAAGATGTAAGATGCTTTATAGCATGGTTTTGGGGTTTTTGTTTTATGTTTTTTGGGGTTTTTTTGTTTGTTTGTTTGTTTTTGTTTTTTTTTCTCCTAATTTGTTTTGGTCTCTCATGTCATAGGAGTGCGACAATTGGGAAACAAATTTCACAGTTTGATAGTAAACGCAATGAGGAGTGACAAGATGAAGGCAAAATAGACAATAGATTCTTCATTTTAAAGTTGCAGCTGGCCCTGGTTGTGCTGGAGATGTGAGGAGAGATGGAGTAGTAGAAGTTACAGCTGGCAGTAATCAGGATAAAGGAATGCACCTTTGCAGCTCTTTGTGGGTAACAGAACAACTCCTGCAGTTAGCCGTGTCTAAGGTTAATAGATTGTGCAGATTACAATACAGACCTTTACAGAGCAAGTGCATTTTTCTAGGTGTTGCTCATGAAGCCTTCTGTGTTTCACATGGATGCTCAAGTAACTTGTTTACTTTTTGTTGCATTATTTTAAGAACAACCAATAATACAAGCAACCAGATAATTAATTCAAATTTATTCAGACACTTCCACTATATTTAAAAACCAAAAAGGGATAAAAATCCTGTTAACTCCAAGATTTGTGCAATATACATTGAACGTTGTACTCCCAATGTTGTAATCTCAATATGAGAGAATATGAGAAGACTTTTCTTTCCTGTGTTCACTTTGGCTGCCTCATATATTCAGAAAGGAAAGGCCCGTCAGGAAGAAAAAGGTCCCCTTATGCTCCACCTGCATAGGTGTTCCTAATACCAGGTGTAAGGAATGTCTGAAAAAGTGTTATGCTGATGGGGGTCTACTAGACCCCTGAAAACATATAAACTATATTATGTTTTATTATGTAATGACTTCTATTTGGCTCTTATGTATACATTAGGTAATCACCAAAAAAATCTATGGAGTTGCAGAACAGCAGTTCTTAATTATTTTCTTAATCAAAAAAGGTATGAGATCTTCTGTAGGCGGAAGGCAAGCTCAGATCTTGAGCAGGGCTCAGAAGAAAGAGAGGGAAAACATGACTAAAATTAGTAACTGAGAAAGAAATTAAAGGGGCATTGGTTTCTGAGGCTAACATAGAAGAGACACAAGTTATTTGCGCATGAAACTCCTGGTCTGCATCTGTCTCAAAACCCAAAAGCCAAGTAGCATAAAATAATGCCTAACAGTCAAAACTGCCACATAATTTAGGTGGAATTTTACTTGGGAAAAAAGTAAAACCTGTACCCTTTTACTTAGCATATCTCATAGAGCAGCCGGATTTGTGGTTACTTTGGAGAAGTACGAGATGAAATTTCAGTCCCATTGAAGGACAATGGTGAAAAGCCTGTCCACTCCAAAATTCCCTTGGTACCACCCATGAGATCTTTTTACCACTGCTTCTGTTGAGAAGCCAGCACTGCTGTGAGAACAGAGACTGGGCTCCATTCAGAAAGCAGCTCAAACTGCGTGGTCTGGTCCTGATTCATTTGATTGTGCAACCCCATTGCAGCGATGAATGGAAAATGATCCAACTTGGTTTTTAGACCCAAATCTGAATTTTCATGTCTGACAGTTAGGAGTTCCCTTCCTTCCCCACCCAGCTGTAAAATTAACTCATTTCATCTGCAGGTCATTAAAAGTTAATAAATTGGAACACGATAATGATGTATTTCATAGGGTGACTTTTCAGGCTGAAGGTACAACTCTAAAGATCAGCATTTTGGGCCCTCTGCCTTTGCAGTTGATTTCAGCGCACAGTGAACTCCACTTTGTCCTGCCTGATCTGGCTTCGTCTCTCCTTTTGGGGAAACCCCATTCCCTTTGGCAATATCCTTGCACAGGAATTTCCATAGAAGTAGCTGAATATAAACTTTTATATGAACAGTTAGTTCATTTAGTACTTGACTTGTTTATTCCAAACACAAATACCCATGCTCATGTGTACGAGCACCCTTGCACGAGTATGCCGTGTTATACATGCTTTACATATGCATCATTAGGTCAAAAGTCCTGACTCTTTTTTCCCAAAGGTTTGCTACATTATTGTCTGTCTTCTTTAAATTATTGGTATAGAATATTTGAAGTGGTGAATACTTTTCAGCTGCATTTTGGAAGCTGTTTTTCATTGTTTAAAATGTGCTGGGTTTAAAAAAGAAACAAACAAAGAAAAGAAAAAGGGATCATCTGATCAACTGCTCCATTATTCTTCTCTTTTTCCTGATCACCTCTGCCCTGGTATGTAGAAATTGGCTGATTTATTTAAATCCCAGGAGCTCCCATGGCTTATGATTCATAAAGTAGCATTTACAGTATGCATTGCAACACTTCATCACTACTAGACAGACTTGAAAGTAATACGGGTTTATGTTGTTACAAAAGAAAAAATAAGGTAAAAGTATCTCTAATATTAAGATTTACTTTTGATTCTACTGCTGTAAAATCAGATTTTGGAGAGGAATGGTATTTTCTGAATGACAGCTACCACCAAAAAAAGGAGGAAATATTTAGTTTTCAAATCCCCTAGCCCAAAACTCTCATCCTCAGAAAGAAGTTCTTCAACACTGCCTTTTTTCCCACAGCCTTGTGGAGCCCCCAACCCTGTCTGCAGAAAATGAAAGGGAGAGGGGTGGGATTAATGTGTAATTAAAGGGAATTTGGAAGGCTGAGATGTTGCGGAATGTTAGATCAGTAGCTGGAACAGCATGTGGTGTTCTTTAGGCAGGCTTCATTGAATCCATACAAAAAAAGAAAGAAGGGCTGCTTGCCTGTCTGCTCATTTATCAAACAGCTAGGCTGAACTTTCACAGCTCCACAAAAGTGTTTTACTGTTTGCTGAAGTTTTGCTCCAGAAATTAAAGCTGAACAACCTAGCGGCTCTGAGTCTATGCTGTGTTTCTTGACATCAGCCACGTTGTGCAAAGCTCTTGGAAACCAACGCAGGTCGATTTTTACACGATACAAAGAGAGGCTGATTGTACAATTGCTAAAAAAATAAATAAAAAATACGGAAGAAATGGTCAAATGTGTGACATTGTAATGTCTTTATTTATATAGATTATTTATATGATCCAAATATGTGTTCCAGAGCTTTCAGTCATCAATCAGGATTAAATATTTATCACAGTGGCAAAATGGCTAATGGAGGAAAAAAATCCATATTATTTAATCAATTCTAATTGATGTTTTCTTCTAGTTGAACGGTTACATTTCTTCTTGCACGCCTGTTTCCCTTTAATATTAGTTGATGTTTGCCCCAAAGAGTAAACGTAGCGATTTATTTGATGAAAATACAGTTAAAACAGATTATAAATTTAAAGAGGAAGAAATTCCTTTTGCAAGTGAATCTTCAAGGCTTACTGAAATCTTTCTTGCATGACTGTTCTGCCAGAAGAGCTTTCCTCCTACTGCAGATCACACTGAGAATCAGGTTCAATCCTATGAGGTGCTGAGCCCTGCAGAGCTTTTTCATCGGTACTAGTCTGCTTGTCAGAGGCTCTGATTAGTGAAGGCACAATCTGCATTCATTAATCCATTTCCTTAAATGCGTCTGGCACTAAAGAAGTTTTGTTTTACAGTAGCGATGTTCTTTTAATCTCTGCTGACAGACTAGAGTCCAGATTCTTGATGATACCCTGCTGTTTCTGAGATGCACTTGTTTTCCACAGAGGATAAATTGATTACAAGTTCTCTTTGCAAACGCAACAGTGAGTCTTCACTGGTAGAAGTGTTGCCCCTGTCAAATACCAAAATCTACTCAGTGAATCATCTTTCAGGAAAAGGAGTGTTTAATGGCAGGATTGCAAAGGTCTTTAGAGAACTGTAGCCTCCAATACTCTCAAAAGGAGATTTTCCTCTATTTGTAACAAACTCAAGTTTGCTGATCCTGCAAGCTGACATAAATAGTAAGCAAATTCTAAGCATCATCCTTCTTAGTTTAGAGGCAGAACTAACCTTAGATTTTTTAGGAAATTTATTCTACTCCAGTAATTCTTGAATTTATTTTTTAATGTAATGTAATTGTAGTTAATGGAATTATACTGAATTCTAAAGTCTTTCCCCTCTTTCAGTTATGGAAAAAAATAACAGCTTTATTTCTGATTTCTCCTGTCATGTATTTTGCTGATATTGCAGTACAGTTCTTCTGCTGTTCTGCCTTAGCAGTCTGTATTAGCTACTAGTAAGTGTGCTTTTCATTTTTTCTAATATTATTTCTATTTATTTGCAGATAATAAGGCAACAGTTTCCACAGCTAACAACACGAAGACTTGGAACCAGAGGCCAATCAAAGTAAGCAGTGTATGGTATTATTATCATCTCACGCAGGGCCCCGTCTGGCTCTGGCTTTACTGAATAGAAAGATATCAGATGAGGGAATAATTTGTCCACTTGGGGACTTAAACACCAACTTTGATGGAGGTTCCATTGTAGTCTTTACATTGTCTTACTGATTCAGGGATGATCCTGCAAAGGTAGTCCAGTGGAGGCCTTTTACCGTTTTCATCAGTGTTATTTTCCATATTGTTGCTACAAAGTCTTTCATCTTAACTCACTTTACACAATGTAAAGGACCACCAAACCCGGGGGTAATGGAGCTACTGCTGGAGGTTCAGAAATCACAGCTGGTTAACATCATGCTTCAGTTTAGAGGACAGGTGGCAGAATGTTATCTGGAATCTGGGTAGTAACATACACTGGCCTAAGATGAAATTGCTTGCAAACCTGGATTTAACCACCATTTTTCCTGTGTAAATGAAATCCAATGTGTCTCTTAAGTGATCAAGGAATTAATTTATTGCCTTACCCAAAAGATGGTACAGTTCATCCTGATACCAGAATGAAAAATTGATTCAGAAGGAAGAATGCACTTCCTGGGGTATTTGACTTTTTCCAGTTGTTGACAATATACAATTCTACCAATTTATAAAGAGGATACAGTGATGTTTTTATACGTCCTTTTCTGCTTGTGGACTCCATTAAATTTTTCCAGTGGAGCTTTGGAGCTTTTTATGGCAAACATAAGCCTCCTAAAAAAATAAGCTAGAAGTCTGCTTTTATTGGTTAGCTTTCAAAGAATCCTACAGGGTTGTCTAAGGGTAGCCCCTATAGATCTAAAGTGGAAGACTATGGAGGGAAATGAAAACCTTGGGCAGTGTGTTTGCAAAATTTTGCTGGCAAAGTTTCTCTTTCAAAACAAAACCTATAAATACAGTATTGCTAAATGCTGAGAAACAAATACACAAGGAGAATTGAACATGCATGCTAAAGATAGAATGACCCACTCTTTAAAGGAAAAAAAAAAATTAAGATGCTAGAAGAAATGCCATTAAAATTAACAAGTGGTCCATGCCAAGCAGTATCTCTTTCATGGGACTAAATGTCTTTTCCCCTACCTTGAGCTTCTCCTAGATTATATAAATCAGCTTTCTTTGTCTAGACTAGCCATATTTAAGCAGCTAACTGAAGGCTTAAAATCTCTTTCCAAAGGCAAATTCAGAGCTACCATAACATGACTCATAATAAAGGTACCAGAAATCTCTCAGGCGCAATTTCTGGGATAGACCAACAGCATATGAGGAAAGCATGGCAGGTCCAGACTCAGAGAATCAGCATTTAGCACTGAATATAAGTTTTGCGGAGGTTCATAAAGATGGAGAGAAAGTATGCACAAGTTGCTTTATGGAAGCATTTGCATGAGAGTAACCATTGTTAGCCATCAAATCACTTTGACATTGGCTACAACTTTGGCGCTTGTCCTCCCCTTTAATTAAAGAAATGAGCACTGCTGTATTTCCAAACTGGAGCTCCTCCTACAGGTCCAGTTTGTCTGGAGTATCCCAGAAGGGCAAGATGCTCTTGATTTGCTGACTGAAGATGTCTTATGTCTCCAAGAATTATGTCTCTTTACTCTCGATGAGGTTAAAAAATCAATGAAACTTAATATTTCTCGCATAGTTCCCCACTAAACTTCACATCTATCAGAGAGTCTTTCAGGTCACATACTCCTCCCCTGCTACCTTTGCAATGGTTCTGCTCCTTATTTAGCAAATAAGAAGGGGTTTCTGTAAAGCACGTTGGTTGTGCTCTACAAGATGCTTGGCCCCTGAGAGTCCCTGGTTACTCCTGTGATCATAGTGACTCAAATCTTGCAGCCTCATAAGTTATGAAATTAAGTTCTTCTGCTCCAAAAGAGGACGTCTGCATCTTCATCAGTGGTTAACACCCCAAGGATTATAAATAACATACAGAGGAGTCTTTCTCATAGGATCCAATGAAAAGGATATATTGTACAAGAAGTACAAACACACACAGTATGTGCACATTGTACTTCTTTACGATAAATACAGTTTTTGCTAGATGCAGCACAGCTGTAACAGAGCTCTGGTTTTGTTTTCAGGAATATCTAACTGCATTGCAACTAAGTTTTACGTAAAGAAATTACTTTAAGCATTAACGCTTCAGTCCCTTTATCACCAGCTGTGGTGATCAATTGCTGCCAGTATGATTTTCATTCCAGTTCCCTGCTACTGCCAAAGGAAATTTGGCTGTAGAAGTGGTTAAGATTATCTGACTTCACACTGTTCTGCCTTCAGTCTTTTTATAGCACTGCTGCTTTGTAACATTACAAAGTTCAGAGCTACAATCGTGCTATGCTCTTGGTCATCAGTTCTGAGGCATTCTTTTTTTGCAGCTGGGTTTATTGCTGCAAGCATGCAGCTGTTCTCTATTGCACTGAGCTTAAAAACAGTTCCACCGCAGGTGAGCCGTGAGAAGGCAGCTAAACATGAAAGCCAATTTCTTTCTGTAGTTTAGTTTGAAACTCTTCAACTATGTACACAAGAGGTTAGTTAAACTGATGGAAACTACATGTTGTGAAGGGAATTTTCTTTCCTTCTTTAAAGGAATGCTGCAGATACTGGATCCATCAGAGTAAAAAGCATTCTACTATTTACCATGAAAACGATTGTGTTGTCTGCATATTATTCTTCTACAGATCAAACTTTCAGGCCCTGTTTATTGAATTAAGTTAGGGGTTTTTCTGATATAAATACAGAGAAGTGCTTGGAAAAGAATCTTTGTAAACTGCATCAGTGAGTTTTTTGTCATTTGGCATAGTAAAATTACTGAAGGAGAAGGGTATCTGGAAAACCTTTGGAGTTAATTTGGTTGTTGCTGTCTGTATGATTTTCAAGCTTCCTGGAAAACTTGGATTATTTAACACTGTATTCAAAGTGGCTTTTATTTTCAATGGATAATAAAGATCATCCTCAATGGGCATGGCAATGGAGCCACATCCTAGAAGTTTGCTTCAACTCCCCAGGCCTCCTCTCAGTCCATCTGTTCTGGTAGACAAGATTAGGGCTTCCAGCTCTTTGCCACCACTTTCTTCTGGAGATTATCACATTGCACTGATCTGTGGGTGGATGACACTGAGAGAAAAAGAGTCACCTGAGTTAGTTTAAACTACTGTCACTTAGGTGCCACTCTCTCACTGATTTAATTGGTGACCTTTGTAAAATCAGTTGATTTTGCCTAAAGCAAACTCAAGTCCATTCAAGCGAACAGATCTGCTGGGAGTGCTCTGAAATCACTAATTATCTGGGGAATACAACAAACATCTGGAGAAGGCAACTTCTCCTGCCACCATAGTGGGATCCAGAAGACACTGTCTCACCATGGTATGGTAGGCTTTTGATCAGCCGTAAAGAGAAAACTGGAAATTCATTGAAAATTCCCTCTAGGAAAGCCAGGTGAATAAAAAGTACATGAGCAATACAATCTTGTAATGCATTTTGTAACCATTAAACATTGTTGCTTTGATGCAAGAGTTAGACTGAATAATCAGTGCTTCTATTAACACCTATAATAAAGTTGTAGAACAGATTGTGCTATATGGATATCAATCCATTCTTATAGCACAGCCACACTGTAATCCCCACTGTGATCTGCACAGAGTTACAGTGCTGTGTATCCCTTGCTGATCTAAACCCAGTGATGATGCTAAGTTAAGAAGCAAATAATTTGAACTGTACATTTCCTACCATTCATTGATTTCCAACATAAGCTTTTTTTTCCCCTTTCTCTTTTCATTAAAGTGTTTTCAGTTTTTGAAACATTTCTGATCATCTCATTTGCAATATAGATTTGGGCTTTTCAGGGATCAAACCGGCCCTCAACAGTCTGAGGATCAGGGAGCTGAAATAACAACAGAAGGGCCAGTCCGGAGGGTCTGTACCTCTGCTTATTGCTAAACTAAAGGAGCAGCTGCACGGCAGAGCTCTGCCAACAAGTAGCTTTAGGATGCTTTTTTTTTTTTTTAATAATAAGAAAAAAGAAAAAGCAAGTCCATTATTTTCCTGCCCTGCAACAGAGTCAGCTTTATTAACTCTGAAGAGAGCTACTTTTACCAGAAGGAAAGATAATTGGATGCCCAATATATTACCTCAGTGTTCTGCTACTGAATCAATGCTTATTAATAATGTATAAACTATTAAACAATCTGTTTTGCTGTAGAAATCACTGGCATTATCAGTTTCTCTTACCCCATTTTTTATTATTTACTTTTCAAACAATCTGCTTCATAAAATATGCTTCTCTATGTATCAGGTACCACTATTATGGAATTGCAGTGAAAGAAAACTCACAGTATTATGATGTGATGTATTCTAAAAAAGGAGCAGCCTGGGTCAACGAAACAGGAAAAAAAGAAGTAACCAAACAGACAGTGGCGTATTCACCACGATCCAAACTGGGAACATTACTGCCAGAGTTTCCAAATGTCAAAGATCTAAATCTGCCAGCCAGTCTGCCAGAGGAGAAGGTAACAGTTTGGAAATCTTTTCTCAGCTTGTCTTGTGGTTTTTTTTCCCTGCTCTGGATGAAAGATTTATCTAAAACATGAAGACTTTAAATCAGAGTAAGTTTAATAATGCTTTGAGTTTATTTATGGGGGACTTAATGACTTCATATAATAGGAAGAAATATCTTCCCTCAAAACAGGCAGCTGACACTATACCTGCACAATATGTCTAAAGCTCATGCACACTTATTATTAAAGTTACATTGCATATAGCAGGTGAGGTTTGAGGGGAACTGTTTTTAAATATATTATAGCTCTTCAATCTGTGAACACATTTGACAAACTGAAAATCAGTTCTGATGCTTCCATGAGCAGAGAGGGACCGAGTGCATTTCTTATCCCTGTAGACTAGAAACTAAGAGAATCCTATCTGCATATATGACAAAAGTGCTCTGGCTGCTCTTGGCTGAGCTTGCTAGTTTTCTGATGCTATTCACATGTGTAGTATCAATGTAAAGTGGACAAAGGAATAGGGTTTTATAGTTCTTTATGTCCTAATTAGGGCCACATTCTCGTCTTTGATCTCACTGAAGCTTTTTGCTCCTCTTATATTTGAAGAATTTCCATTGACATAGAAAAATCCATGAATTCAAAGGGAGAATTTACTTTTAAGAGGAAAACTCATCTTAAAGCTAATCTAACTAGACTTTAACCGATTTCTTTTTTTTTTTTTTTTTGCAATTGTGCATAGGTAAGATAAGAAAAAACTTGGTTTTTTTGTTCTCTATATTCTGATATTTTTAAAAGCAGATTTCTTAAAGTAGAATGATCTTTTTTGTGTCTCCCTCTCATTCTTTTTCAGGTTTCTACCTTTATTATGATGTATAGAACTCACTGTCAAAGAATACTAGACACTGTAATAAGAGCAAACTTTGATGAGGTATGGTTAGAAACTAAAGTTGTAGTTTAATGATATGTAAGGTATTAACGGATCTGAGAGCTTATTTTGAATATGATATTACAAACTTATGGTTTTGTGGTGAAATATCCTTTTCATGAGTAATGAACAATGGCTATACTTGAGTACGTAAAGTGACCAATAATGTTAAATCTCGTAACACTGTGCAAGTTAGAGGAAAGAAAGCAACGGGAATGTTTTTGTTTCTTCATTCTCCAGCCAGATTAAGGTAGCAATATTCCCTTATAAGATGCTGGACAATCCAGTTCTCACAACTCAAGAAGTATGTCCATGGCCACTTTTCTAAGCTTTGAGTTGGGGCTGAGCTCTGTTCAACACAAACCCAGGGCAGGTGCTCTGCTGGTCTATTAACAATGGTGCAGGGTGGTGGGGTGCCTACAGAATCCCAGATATCCCAGAAAACTGTACTGAAGTCTCTGATTGCTCAGCTCTGGGTAAGTGCAGCTAGGAAGACACACACAGCAGTTCATACCATCCATTAGCTCATCCATCCACTCATACCATCCAGCAGCTCAGCATTTGATACCATTCATTAGAAATGGATAAGGTTTGTACCTGCTACATATTTAACTGACTTTGAGGGTTTTCTGGCAGTGCATGCAATTAGAGCTGAAAAATAAAATATCACTGGAATGCAAGCAGGTTTAGATTACATGTGGAGAAGGCCTCTAGTTCAGGAAAAGAAATCTGTAGAGATGCTGAGGGCCTGATTCAAATATGACATCCAGGTCCTGGAAAGAAAAAAACAAAACTAAGGAAATGGGTCTTTTGATTCTGCCTCCTGAACAATGGCAAAAATCCCCTGCTTTTTTCCTTTCAATGTTTAATTCTCATGCTCTTTCTCTTTAAAGCTGAGGGTACTTTAAGTCATTGTACCCAGTCTAGATGTTTCCATGTGAGAAATGCATGACGCATGTTTAGGAAATGTTGCTGGATGAGAGTCAGAATACTTTCTTAAAAGCAGGATGTTATATTTTATTAGGGAATGAGTCAGGATCAATGTTGGGGAAAGAGATGAGCAGCAACAATATATGAATGGCAAATATTCTTTACTACAGCTGGTTTGATTACTCATTTCAGCACAGACTGCATGCAGAAGGTTATCATATATGAATGTCAGTGTTCTGACTCCTCTAGAACTGACCATATCATTCACTGACTAATACCTTTATTTCCTAAATGAAAATTTTCAGAGGTATATTTTGCTGTGTCTGAAATCTCCTCCCCATTTTCTTTTTTGTCTCTCTCCATTCTTTCTCCTCTTTCCTTCATAATGGAGGAAACAAAAAATCCAAAAGTGTAGTGTTTCTTTCCAAAACAAAGACAGAAAATGGTATATTTACCTCTGTAAGCCATGTGCTATCCTTCTCTCCCTTCTTACACCAAGTCCTAGATTGCATTCCTTTGTATACAGGGACAGAGAGCACAGAGAGAGAAAAAGGCTTGACATGTGGAAGCCAAAGAGTTACACTCACCAGCCACTGATGGAAGGTAAAAATACGGTGGTTCTCATGGGTCTCTCTCCTGTAGTAGCACAAAGACACCCTGGCACCAACTCAGAGTGTCTCCTCACCCTTTGGCTGGTTATCCCATTCTGTGCTGCGTTACAGTATAAGCCTGTCTAGTTAAGGAATATGCCTTGCCTGTGTTATACACCATCAGTCCACAGCTGGGGTTGAAACAAATGCTATGTAAGCAGGATTGTTTAAAGAAAATGGTATTTGTGTCCTTTGATTATCTTAATTTAAACATCCCTGCTTCTTCTCGTGATTGCAGGTTCAAAGTTTTCTTCTGCACTTTTGGCAAGGGATGCCTCCTCATATGCTGCCTGTATTGGGTTCTTCAACTGTAGTGAATATAGTGGGAGTTTGTGATTCAATTCTGTACAAAGCAATTTCTGGAGTTTTGATGCCAACTGTACTACAAGCATTACCTGACAGGTCAGTATAGCTAGCAGCACTGACCACGTTTTAGCTCAGCTGTCTTTGCTGCATGTCTTTTCCTCTAGAATGGCACCACTTCTCATAAAGCTGCTTGCTGCCACCAGTTTCCTGAGTTTAATTCACAGTGTCAGTTCAAAGGAGTTGAAGACCTGATGTGATCCTGAAGAAAAGTTCAGATTTTAACAAGATTTGTATTATGAAAAACTTGTTAATTTTTGTCTGATAAAGGATACTACCTTCTTCTTGGTTTGTAACATCAAGTTAATAGTTGTATCCCAGCTTCCAGGGAACATCAGAAGTCTGCAGGCTGCAGAGTGCCATGCTGTCTTCTGAACACTCAGACATTGTTCTGCTACTCTGGGATAACAACATAGCAGTATCCTGAATTACAGTGACAAGAGGAGCTGGCCTGGCTGCTCCTTTTGTTAATACTTACATGAATATTTAGGCACTGCAACCTAAGCATTTGTCTCTGTATGCGCTCTTGGAACCCTATTGTTATTCTGCTTGCTAGGAGTATAAAACAAGAACATCATGCTTGTGAACTTTTGGACAAGTTGGTTTAACTTAAATACTACCCTATGAAGAAGAGATGTGTGTTTATTTTAGAATCACTTTAATAATATTGGCAAGCATTTGCCTCTTTCGTTTCAAAGCTAAATTCACTTTTTCAATCCATATGGCAGATCTCAGCTGTTCTCTTCCTACCTGGAGCTCATGTGAGTCCAAGGATTCTTGTTTATATTGGTAAAGCAGAACAGAGATCAACAGTTCATAGCAAAAAGTGTAATCACTGAGCGCAGTCAACCTTTTTTATCCTTTGGTTTTCCTAATATGAGCATAAGGAAACCGACATTTCTCTAAATGCATGTGAACACCATTAGTATTATTGGACTGATGTGTTCCTGAGGTTGAGTAATTTATTAGCAATATTGCTCCAGGAGTTTCCTAATGGTGCTGTGTATTTGGCCCTCAAGTTTTTAAAGGTGTCCCTAATCATGGCGAATGTTTTCAAGATGTTGTTCTGCTCTTCTATGTGCACTGCGTGACAGCTAAAGTACAGGCAAAGTGTTTTTTTTCCACAAGAAACCTGTTATAAGCATGTGCTTTCCTTGATAAGACATGTACATTTTTACAAGCTTTGCACCTCACGCCCCCCCCAAAATCTATTTCACTGGAAGGATTAAACAGAACAGCAGTCCTTTTCTCAAGCTGCTTAGTTCTTTCATAGCAAATAAGGAGAGACTTGAGTGTGAATATAGACTTTTGTAATGCATATAAAGGGCCAGATTGTGGCTATTAAGCCATAGCCTGCACTGGAGGGGGTGAAGAAGGGTCTCATTGCAATGGAAACTCCTGAAGTAAATCTTGCTGACTCAGCCAGAATCCTCTGAGGGTCTTCCTGGGAACAAATATTGGCTGCCCAGAAAAGCCGCTTTTTAGTGGGTGCAGCAGTTGTCATCCATCCCCTGTCCTCTTAAAGTGTCTGCATAGAGCACAGCAGTCCTATGGCCATGTTTATTTTACCAGCTCTGTTCTCTGTGCAGCGCCTTAGGTGTACAAACAGAAAAAGCTGCATGGCTGAAAGGCAAAGTTCCTTGCATTTTTCCCCTCTTACTTGTGTATCTCTAGTATTGCTACAGGCAGTGCAGCTCAGCCTGGCACAACCAAGTGTTAGGGTCCCCTGCACAACACCCTGCAACTGTTCTTGGACACTGTCGTTTTATACCAAGTAATTCCAAGAAGGGCAGAATGAGCAGCCTGTAAAGTTTAGCAGGAAATGATGGAGCCGTCAGGGCAGGTTAGTAAGGAAGAAGAGAGAAATCTCACTTGCCTGAGAGACTTCCTGTCCTGTGCAGAGTTAAGCAGGCAAGTCCTGTTCCATCCCCACTGCCCCTATCTGTGTGGGCTCGGCCTGGAAATTCCTCCCTATCATCATCACCCACTCACTGGCCCCAGCCTCCAGCATAGCTGGTTGTTGCTTCACTTGTACATCCCTGTGTGCATCCATATAAATGTGGGCACAGATGAGCTGAAACCTAAACCTTGATCTATTGCCTTCTTTAAACAGTTGTGACTTTATGTCTTTATGTTTGTATAGCATGGGAATGATTTTATTTCAAGGGAAGAATATTGTTTGTAAGCATCAAAGCAATGCAGTACAGAGAATGTCATTCTTTGTGAGGTTTTGAACATATTTTCCTTTTCCTGCAAATGTTTTCAGAAGTTTTTCTTCATGCCTACAAACCAAAATACATAAGTAACTGCATAATAGTGAGTTGTAAATAGCTGACTCATAGCGTTCACATGTTCGCAGATTTTATAGCATAAAGCACAGAGTAAACCTGCTTTGATGTAGTGATTTTTCAGTTTGACACAGGTGATCCGGAAGTTTGCAAAGCAACTGGATGAGTGGCTGAAAGTAGCTCTCCACGATTTACCAGAAAACCTACGAAACATCAAATTTGAATGTATGTATTATGCAGTCTTTCTCCTATTAACGTGAGATGTACACAGTGCTCATTGATTGCAAATTAATTGGAAGCGAGACTAGTGTTCTTTTTAGGCATTAAAACCTGTCAGTATTATAAATCTTGTATTCACTTACAGTCTCCACTTGTTCATGAGAACCAGTTTCATTCAGTGGAATGAGACACTGCTCAAAAAGAGATGATTTGCTTTTTCTTTCTTGTGGATTCTGATAAGAATTTTGTTGATAGTAAGTAAGCATTAGTGATGATATTAGGCACAGAAAATTATTAAACAAACCTTTAGGCTAGCACAATTTGAATACAGCTTGAGGCCCTTACTCAAAAAAGTGCCAGAGTTAAAAATGAAGGAGATCAAATTACCCTGTCACCACAGGAAAGGGCACTAGTCCTTTTCAGACGTGCTTTGTAGATGCCTGCAGTGCACATCACCTATTGATGAAGCCTGCTTTATTTCACGGCTCTCAATTCTTTGCCTTTCATGAGCACTAAATTCCACACCACAAAGTTAAAGGGGAAAAAAAAAAAACTAATTTAGGAGAAGGATTAACTGTTTTGATCAGCGTGGAAAATTAGGTGTATATTTTACTGAGAACAGTCAGATTGTAAGTTGGAACAACTAATTTTAGGGTTTTTTGGCACTGTTTACTAATTTATTTTAAAAGCTACGCAAAGAACTGAGAATATGCTTTATCACATCTTGGTCAACTCAAAAATATTGAGAATCTGAAACAGCAATATCTTTTCCAATCTGATAGGGAGAGAGAGATTGACTACGCGCTTTCTAGTCATTCTCAATCTCTACGCCTTAACTTCCTCTGTGTAGAGTACAGAGGGAAAACCTACTCTGTGGCTATGTCTAAGGCTTGTTTGGATAGATCTGAAAGTCTTAGGTGGTTTTAATATTATTGAAAACTTGAGTGCATCCTACCTTCTGCAATTGATCCTTCCTCATCAGAATGTGTGATAGTGCAGCCAGCCAGTGGAGGTACTGACAGGAGTAACTGCAAACCTTGGTCATGTTTGCATTTCCCGAGTCACAGATTTCAGACAAAAGATGTACAACACAACATTATAAGTTCATTTTCCAAGCTTAGAAAATCATCTTAATGCAAGGTCCTTATCACTTGGAAAGAGCTAAAATAAGAGCATCAACTAGCAAGTACATTGTGGGCTTCTTACCCCTTAGCGCATTAGTATGTCATGTAATCTCTTTTAGAAACTCTGATCAAATTCTACTTGAAACTTTATCAGATTTTAGCTCCTCCTAGTCTAGCCAAAAGACCCTTCCAAAACTTGTTTGCATTAACACTTGGAAATCTTTTCTAATTTCCACACATAATGTATCTATCATTATTTTATGCCCACTTGTTCTTGCACCAACATTTTTCTTTCTATTACATAGCTCTCTCTGGCCTTCAGTTCCTTTGTGTATCAAGAGAAAATTTGCTATGCTGAACAAGCAAAGCTCTTCCATTGTTCTCTACATTTCTCTTGTCACCTCATTATTCACAGCATCTATAAATCATTGCTGTAATATGCCTCTGTAAAAGTGATTGAACATCCAGATTTAAGGCTTTAGGTCAAGGTTTAAACACGATTAAATCTGGGCTATTTGAATGAACTTCACGTGGTTGTAATTGTATGCAAGAAACTGAGTAGATTTTTCTGGTCCTTGTTTTAATTCAGTAATTTCAGAAGTACTTTTCTTTATTTAGCACAGTGTGTAAACATGCATCTCTTTTTTCCTGCAGTGTCCAGAAGATTCTCACAAATACTCCGTCGTCAGACATCGCTAAATCATCTCTGCCAAGTAAATATTTCAGTTACTTAAGTTTGCTGAATGCCATTTTTACTGACTTTTGAAATAATTTTATTAATTGGTAGGCTGGACTTTACTCAGAGAGGAAGAGATCACGTTTAGCAGTCTGTCCCCAATATTTATTGTGACCGCCTTTACAAAGTCAAGAAGTAATCAGCCCAAAATACTTTTCTAGACAACCGGCAACCCCTGATTATTAAATTCAGCAGGGTACTTTTATGAAAAAAGATCACTATTTGATTTGAATAGATGGTTCATTTCCAGGCAATAAATGAAAAACATTCATTTGATTTCAGAGCAGGTAGTATTATTAGTAGGTCAACTGCAAAGTAAGAAAAATTTCTATATGCCTGACAAGAAATTCCTAGGCTAATTGTATATTATAAATCATGCAAATTAGTAAAAACCCAAACAGTTGAACTGCTGAGGTTTTAAACAGAAATAGTCTTGCAATCATAGCAAGTGAATATAAAACCTACTCTTCAGTGTTTGTTTGTCATCAATTAGTTTAGATCACAATTGCCTATCAAAAAGTCATGAGGCCAAATTCTGTGTAGTATAAAAAGGGGAAGAACGTATTCAGTTAATGAATGTTTTACCCGTGTATTGGAGCAGGCAGTTTGATTTCTTTGTCACACTGAAAGCTCCACTTTTGGAAGGTGTATCCAACACCCCTGTGAGTGGTGAAGTCCACAGGAAGAAGCTCTGAGGGAAAAACACTCCTGCAAGGATGTCTAGATGTCTTCCTCCATTATTTTAGTGGTGAAGGCAGTGATACCAGCGCTACCTTTCCCCAGATGTAGTGGACCATCACTGAGCTTTGGAGGTCCATAGGGATTCAGAGGAAATCAAGACACAGAGACCACAACTGTCTTCAATCACATCTGGGATGAAACAGTTTACTTACATGAAGGACTATTCAAATGCATCACTTCCTTGGGGAGGCTGATAACCTTGGTGTGGATTGTCATCTCTGCTTAACTTCCAGAGATCTGGTATATGTTATATGACCATGACTTTGTGTCTCAGTCCATCCTCCCCACTGTCAGCAGTGGATCTGCATCTCAGCCAACTAAGAAGCAGATATGGTGCAGGGACAAATGAGCTTTAACCTTTGCATGTGACTGAGGGAAGAATAAGAGCCTTCATAGTTTGGGAGAAGGGAGGGTGCAAAACTGAGGGGGGTTGATTTGTTTGCATCTTGATTTTTCTTGTTGCTTTTTGGTTTTGAACTGAAGCTGGTAAAGAAATAGCAGAGCTATTAGAAACTGAGAAGACTAGCAACAGCATCACCAGATTAGAGTTGTTCATCAGGGTTTGTGGTGGATGCAATACGTGCACATGATTTTAGTTGGCAAAATTACTTGGGAGTTAGTTCTCTGTGGTTAGAGGGCCTTGTAATGTCCATAAGACATCAAGTTGGCAGGTGGGTGTCCATGAGGAGAATCAACTCAGTGAGCCTAGCTAAGGAAGCGTAAAAGGGGATAAAGTCTATTTTTAACCTAATAAACCATGAACTAATGAATTGATTGGATTGGATTACAGGCATCAAGAACAGTGATCCACAGTGCAGACATCACATTTCAAATGCTGGAGGACTGGAGGAATGTGGATCTGAATAGCATTACCAAACAAACCCTCTACACTATGGAGGACTCACGGGAGGAACACAGAAAACTCATAATACAATGTAAGAGCAGAACCCTCAAATAAAGCCAGGTGAACTTGGTTTCCTCCTGGAAACAAAGCTCAATGAAAGTAACACTTGTTTCTGCAGCCATTGGTTTGCTTTGACTCTCAAGGTAAAGAGAGAGATATTTATCAAAGTGTATGGGAAAGCCCTGTCAAGGTCTTATATTTTGGGGCATATATCTGGGTACTCTTCCATTAATGAGTTTTTTTCTAGTATCCAGAACACCCAATGGCATAAGACTTGCACCCAGATTCAGGAAGACTTTCTTTCCATAAACCTGAGCAAACTAAATCTATAGTTAAAGCATTAAATTTGATGAATTTTGATCTCTTTTGCTGTAGAACTGCAGGAGAGTTGCCTTTTTAATGGCTTTGACACTGTATATTTGTAAATTTTACTTATGAGAAGGTCCATGTGTATTTTCATAAGCAAGTTCATTTGATGGGGTGCTTTCACCCTGAACTTATATGAGTAAGCAGAAGTCCCATATCAAGCAAGCTCACTGGCTGATTTAGTCTACCTAGTAAAGTGAAGGGCATGAACTGAAAAGTGACTTTGGAGATGCTGGCAAATTGGTTTTAGAGTCAAAGGTCTTTTGCAAGTATAAAATTTAAATTGCACTGTCCAGCAAGTGTGTGGGGTTGCAAGCTTAGGTGTAACCCAAAGCACACTGAATTTGTCCCTCTGAGGTACCAGAGTTGATCAGCTTTGTCTTTAGTATCATTCATAACCTCACTTCCCTCTGAACCCATCTGTTGTATTGTTACTTCTCACCAGAGGAGGCCCAGTCTTCTTTTATGCAGAACCAGCCTTAATGTGGATCAACCTGGGCAACCACTTGTGGGAGCCTTGAAAGGGTAGGTTTGCCAAAGAGGGCAACACTTTCAGCGAGTGGCTGGGAAGAGGAAGGGTGACACCTTCACATGTACACTGTACCTTGCAAGGCTGACTTTGGCACTTATCCCGCTATGCTAATACTAGAAGTCTTCTCCTCAGTTTAGGGACTGGTGGTGTATTCTCTGTTACTTCTGTTTTCCAGCAAGAGATGCTTCGTACTCTTTCCTCTCATTCTTAATCCTTGATTCATTTCCTGATGTGGCTTTCTCACCTTCTGAGGAGATGGAAACTTGATGTGGTAACAGGTAGCATATAGTAAGACTGGAGTCCAGAAGCTGTGTGCATCCTTCAGATATCTGTTACATTTTCAGTATCTACCCAACATCCTCCTACTGATGAAGAGAGTTCTTAAAGTTATCCCTAGTAACAGCAACAGTTTCCACTTTGTTCAGAAAATACTTAATTTGTAGGAAAGCTTTTTGTATATGTTCTAACTATTTAAGTACAAACTTAAGTGTAATAAATTGAAATAGAACCTTCCTGAATGCTAATGGATTTGGACATGTTTTGCCATATTTTAGGCCTGTATAAGCGATTGCTTAGAAATGGTAACCAAATAGGAATGTTCACCATGAGACGGGATTCCACTGAGGAGTGCAGATATACAGAGAGATTATTCTAGAACTTAGATGGTTTTTCCCCCATCTCTTTGATGTTTATTAGTAGAATAAACAAAGATCTTTTCAAAGATCATATTCTGTATGACTCCTATGATATGGAGTTAAGGCCTGGTTTCACATTATTGGTGTTAATAATCATGAAAGTACAATTTCCAGCTACTGTAACTGGAAAAACATGTTTATAAGCTTACAAGCAAGCTTTGAGAGAAACAGAGTAAAATCACTGGCTATAGGAGAACCTCTTTCCTGCTCTAGTATGGTAGCTGTCTCTGACATGGCTTCGTCTTTCCTTCCTTTCTCAGATCCTGTTGAGGCATTTTTAACAGTCACTAAAGGCTAAATAGTTACTTTTCTCAAATAGGTCATTGCACACAGCTGCATTTCTTCAGCAGCAAAGCAGGAAACTGAATTGTTCTTCCACTCTTGTTTCCCTCTTCGTACAGCATATGAATTACTTAATTTGCTGTATCAGGAAAGGGTTTTTTTCAGGTAAATATTCAGGTATGGAGACAACATTTAGGTTTCTCTGTGATCCTGTTCTGAATAAAGGGAGGTTGCCTATTCAATAAAACAATGAAACAAGATAAAGATGGCCTAAACATCACTATTTTCCTTCTTCCTCCTTTCCTTCTTTCCTTTTTCCACAGCTAGCGTTTCTGACATCCAGCCTTTTTGCAAGCCTGAGTTAATGAAATCAGGTGTGAAGCAAATGCATTCCTGTTCATCTTGCTGATCCAACTTAGAGACCAGGGAGCTTGTTCTTTGCATTATTGTCAGCCCCTATGGCTCGTTTCTCCAGCTATTATTTCTAAGCTTTGCCTTCTCCACCTCCCTCGCTGTCTTTCCTATGGTGGGAAATTCCTTCTTCTTGTTATTTATAACCAAACATAAATGGAAAGGCATAGCAGATTGAGATCATCCTGTAACACAGCAGGTAGAAAAGTATCTTTCTTCTTGACTTACTGGGTCTTTTATTTTAGCTGAATTGAAGAATAATTTCTTAAGATGCCAAAGCACATGAATCTTCGTCTTCCAGCTATTGATTCTATGAGAATCAACTAGAGCCCTGCAGTTTTGAGATCTGCAGTTGAATGACTTGGTTGTTTTAAACTTCTGTATTAAAATATGAACATGTATACTTAGGAGAGGTTTAAAAGTACACAGGTTGCTTTTGAAAACTCTTCTTGATGAATTAAGTATAGCATTTGTGCATTGGTAGCAATTTGTTTTGAAGAAGTAGAAGTTTATGGAAATTCTGTGTGTGTGTGTGTGTCTGCCATTGCAAATAAATGATTTGCAGCAGTTGTCACATTTTTGCAACTAAAGCATTATACAGATGTGAGCCCTATCAACAATACTCATCCACTTGATGCTTAGAAGATTCTTTATGCATTTCTAAATCAATTTCATGCATGACCTTTTTTCACCACCAGGGTCAAGGTCTAGATTCGCACTCTTCATAGGGAATACCATAAACGTTTCACTTCCGGGCACACTGGACAGCTGAAACTTAAATCAAAAGCTTAACTTTAAACAGTGGGTTGTGACTTGCTCACGTTAAAATGCCACATCCAATGACTCCATCACTTTCACTGGAAATGAGATAGGAGACTGAGCAAACTTACTGGGTCAGCACCAAGAAAGATATATTTGTTGTAGTTGAGCAATGCATTATGAAAACCACAGCAAACTTGTGATGTTATCAGCAGCTCTTTGGTGATTTGTTTCTCTTTTGTTCAAAATGGAATCCAAGTACTGAGGTGGGCTATTTTTTGTCTGCCAGTGTATCAGGAGTTTGATCACCTTCTGGAGGAGCAGTCCCCCATTGAGTCGTACATCGAGTGGCTGGATTCCATGGTGGACAGATGTGTTGTAAAGGTTGGTAAGCAGGAGTAAGGACCGCAGTCATTTATGCGCATTTTGAGCTCTATGCAAGTCATAGATTTTTAGCAGAAAAAGAAGTAAAAAAAAAAAAAAAAAAAAGAGCCAGGCACTGGTAATAAGGAGGAGTAAAGCAACAGTGAGTAACATCTCACCAGTTTTCATGGAGAACTGCTCACAGTCATGATTCTGCTTTATTCTGTTTTGTCTATTCTGTCCCCAAAGGAAGATATAACTGTATGACCAGCTATTTTTAACTTCTGTCACTAACTATACTTTGTATTAGGATGTTCTATGAGAATTTCAACTCTTCATACCAGTTGTTAGAGCTAAGAAGTAACAACCAACCAAACCAAAAAACCTCACTGCCTCTCTCTGTGCAAAAGATCCATACAGAAAACAACAGATACTTCTCCACATTACTTGAAATACTTTGATTGTTTGGGGGAACTTTCCTTCTAGTCAGTAGAATGCAATTTGAAATTCAGACCGTAACTGTTAATTTTCATGAATAACTTCACATGGATTTTGTTAGCTGATTGGACGAACCTAATTCTTTATCTCACATATAGTATAGTAATTTATATTTTTTTAGAGTTAATGCCTAATGTGTGCTTTCTGGAAAGTGTTTTTCATAGTAAAATGAACATGGGAATTCATGAAAATCATGGAGGGATAAAAAAATTATATTCAGTAGTAAACTTTAGTTGCAATGTAAGTATAAATTTTCATTGTGGATCAAGCATTATTGTTTCTAAATTGCTTCCTTGACCAGGAAGTAAGAATGAACATGTAAGTAATTAAGTTGAAGGTCAGAGCAATGTTTTGGCAGTTCCTTCATCTTTTAGAAGGGAGATTCAGTCTTGGTGTTGAATAATACTTACAATTTCTGAAGGCAGTATATGGTTACAAGATGCTTTTCTGTCTAAGGTTGTTTTGGTTTTTAATTTTTAGTGTTTATTTTAATACAAAGATAATGGTAAGTAGTTTTTCTGTATATAAAAAAAAAGATGGATATGTGAATCATTCATCTGCATTAGGTGGTAGAAATAAAAGTTTCTCTTTGACAGATACATCTGTTTCCTTGCAGGTAGCTGCCAAAAGACAAGGCTCTTTGAAGAAAGTAGCTCAGCAGTTCCTTCTGATGTGGTCCTGTTTTGGCACTCGCGTGATTCGGGACATGACTTTGCACAGTGCACCCAGCTTTGGTACTTTGATTTTGTTGTAATAATTGTATGTCGCAGTCAGGAAATCTGCATCCTGGCTTGTAATGTACAGTTTAAGTGAAAGCATAACCAGTTTTCACATGCCCAGGGCTCTATTAAGAAGAAGAACTGGGGCTAGTGACATTTGGAAATAATGCTCAGAGAGGTGTCTGTCTTCAAGATCTAGCCAGGGGAGCTGAAAACATTCCTTTTGTTTGTTGTTAGCTAGTAGCTGGAGTTATCAGCTACAGGTCAGCTGAAGGAATTGATTACCGGAGCCTTCCCTAACGCATTTCAGTTCAAAGCGAACCCAAACCCAAACCACTTTGACCATGTGTTGTGCCTGAAGAGATGACTTTGCCCTGAAGTGGATGAAAAGCTCTTCAGTGAACCATTTTGTCAGCTCTGCTTTTAAAGGACATAGCATTTTAAACTAGTATGTGCAAAACAAGTGTGTTTCTATACCCTGGACACATTCTTTTCCATCCTATTAGAATACAGTCAGGGTGAAAAAACAGACTTTTACTTTTTACATCAAAAAGCATGTTACTTTTCTACACAGTTTCAACAGGGGCTTTGTCTTGAATCCTAGGATACAAACAGTTCAGATTAAATTCATTGAAAGCAGTGATAATTGAAAAGGGATTGCTGTGTCATGAGTGTGAGCATTTGCAGTCACTTGGGACCAGATTTTGCATGAGGGATGGTTTCTATAAATGTACATTTGTCCCAATCTGTTAGTAAAAGATTAATAATGAATGAATTTAGAAAGGCACTGCATTGAACAACGGCAAGGTTTTCTCCCCATTGAGCTTTTATAACCTTTATGATTTTAGAACCATCTACTAGCATAAATTCAGATACCAGCAGAGATAGGCAGAGTATGAACTGTATTTATGTTTTAATCTGAAATTACTTTTGCTGGCTTCCCATTGTAAGTTTTCCAAGCAGGTCTTAGTGAGTCACCCTTAGACATCAGGATAGTGAGAGCTCCCAAGATGGTCACAATTTCCATCTGCTAACTTGTGCTTTCAGCACTAATACCCTGGTCACATCTAATTTTCCCCTCCTCTAGGGCTCATTTTCTCTTTGAGGTGCTGCAGCTTTTCTTTTGTTGAGGGCATAAAGGTAGGTGGTAAGGCTTAACAGTATACTTTCCCTCAGTGTCCAAAAAAAACTTTGCATGAGTATTGGGTAAATGCTGAATGCTGTTTCATAGCACTTTGGGTTGCTACACTTCTCTCTGCAGACATAATCACAACCTGTAAAACACAGTGCTACTCAACAAATGAAAACACATCCTGCATTAGTGCAGTGTTGAGGTTACAGCATTACAAGTCATGAAATGCAGACGTTAAACTGCCCCTAAGGATACCTTATTGCTACTGAATTGCACATTACAACATTATTTTTATTTCAGTGCAGGATATGTTTGTAACCTAATCAAACATTCTTTGTTTCAGAGCACCAATCACCAAAACATCTGTAATCAAACAGGGATTCCCCAAATAGCTATTAGACCACCACTTGTCTGGATGGTCTGCACAGTGATCCTCAGCTGTGATTCCTTACTTATTAATGGAAACATTCATGAACTTGCCACATAGCGAGTAAATGAGAAGATTGAGAATTATTTGTTGGCTTGAGTTTGGAACCCACTAGCATATAATATATCAGATCTACAAAAATAACTTACCTATTTCCTCTATTATAAATTTGACTCATGAATTTCTCAGTTTTGAGAACTTTAAGTGCCTGGCTAAGTATGTAGAACTTATGTGGGGTATCTTTCCTTTTTGGTTCACTGGGTATATCTGTGTGTACAACTGCATGAACCTCCACCTTATATGGACCCACAAGTTTGAACATGAATTTGATATTTTTATATGTAACCACAGGGAAATTATGTACTGGTCATAGCTGATATCTTATTCATGGGTATGTGGTGTTATAATTAGAACTGGATCAATAATTTATTTTCAATTTGGTAGGCAAAGCAAGAGTTAAAAAAAAATCATCTTCGGTGTGAAGCTCAGTTTGGGATTTTCATCAAATTCAAAAATCTTTATTTTAAAAAAAGTAAAATCAAAGAGAATTCTTGTGCATTTGCCACATTTTGGTGCATAGATGAGAGCTGCCAGCCTCAGCAGTCTTGAAGGAGTGTTGACCATTGTCAGAACAAGATCTCTAACCAAAAGGCTAAAGGCTTTGTCCTGTGGGAGGGTTTTCTCATCTTTTCTGTTGAAACTATTTCCCTTTGTACAAACCACGTACCCACATGTTGAGCTGCAGAGGTCTGCAGCCTGCTAGGTGGGCTTTCCCTGGGAGGCAATGTGAGAGCCCTTACTTATACAGGGTGCAGTTTTCCCTGCTCAGGTGTAATGCCAGCAGAGGTAGGGAGGAGATCTGAGCCTTCAGGTTTTCAAAGGTGAGAGTGATATCAAAACTCTATCCTCATCCTATCAGGCAAAAGCCTGGGCTATTCCTACCTTCTTTCCCCAAAAAGTTATTTAGCCTCAGGCACACATTTATAATTTGTATTAATGATGCTACTCATTCACTGCAAGGACATTTGGCATATTGTTCAGGAATTAGAGTTGTGCAGGTTCTAAAAGGATAACCCCTGCACATCAACAGGTCAGAGACAGATGGCAGAAACTCTTCTGTGCTTAATATAACACAGTTCCTTCTAGCTTTTCAGCTAGAAGTGAGCATTTAAGTGAACTCTATGGAGAGAAAGACTTGTTTCACTATTCTGAATATTTACATCTATATATCTTTGTTGTTAACTTAGATAAAAAGTTTTGCATTTTTACTGCATTGAAGACTGTTTCAGTGGACTCAGTTTTAATGACTTTTTTCCACTTCAGGCAATATAGAGACTCAGATGCTCGCAGTGTAGTTTTGGGTTGGTGTTGTTTTAAGTAAAATAATGTGTTAAATGATGGATTCTTTATTATATACAGGACAGTATGTTTTTACCTTTGAAATATCTGACACAGAAATCTGAGTGGAGGAAGATGAAATACCTGGCACAGGGTGACTGGCATAGGGATTTGACCCTGCAAAGCTTTTAAGCATGGTGGTATAGGCAGGCTGAAACAATCTCTGCCAGAAAAAGAAGTTCCTCACTCTCCTGCTTGCCCTCCCTTTTTCTCTCTGCCTTCCTGCCTCCCTCTCTCCTTCCTGTCTGCATATCAAAGGCACAGTTGGTGGTAGTGTTTGGGTAATGCATCCAGTGTATAAAGTAACTAATTAGTAATAGAGGCCCCATGATTTTCTCCAGATCTGGAAACCTCACTGTTGTTTTGCTACTTACGTGTAATTGCTGTATCTGTTAATAGCTGCTGATACTTACTGTACATTATCTGGGTAATTATTGCCATGATTTCTCTTAACTCATGAAAATTAGAGTCAAATGCTGCTTATTACTGTAGCTACAGTATCTTGAATGACTTCTTACCTTTTCCTGAAGAAGTGTACTGTTTGCCTATCACAGCTGGGTCCATTTCAGGACTGAAAGACATACTTGAAAGGACCAGTTTCAAGTGAAAAACAGTAGCTTGCAAACACAGAGTAAATTCTTGTGCATCGTGCTGAATAGGTATTCACTGTGTAGCTGAAATGCTTCCCCTGATATTGGTTTCACTCTATAGCTTACATTTCATTCCACTCACTTAAAAATGTAAAAATATTGTATTCAGTCAGTACCAACAACTTGTTTGTTGTCTTTCACACAAAATCTGGGCTCAGAAACTCTATGCGGTGTTTAAAAATCCACAGAGGGAGAAATAATAGGAGAGGAAGAGAGAAATTCAAAAGAGTGACAGGGGCACTGGAGTGTTTTTAAATGCTGCATTCAGTATTGCCAACCCCAAGTCTTCAAAATAAAGTATTAAACCCCCCCAAAAGCAAAAAGACATTTTTAAAACCAGAAAATCTCGGTTTCTTGTCATTTGCTTGTTAGCATCGCAGTGTTCAGGCTTTGCACTTCCAAATATTTTTATGAAACCACAAGCAACTTTCCTTAATTTATTTTTTTAATTAAAGCTGAGAAAGGAGTTTGATTAGAAACACAAATACCCTGAGTTTTATACCACCACTTCAAGTTTGCTAGCATTTAGGCCTGTTTTTCTTACCTTGCAAATACTTATCAATAGTAACTGCACTAAAGTCAATAGAAACTTCCCACTGAAAAACTGTAGTCAGAAGAAGAGTGAGCAATTTACAGAGATTCTTGATAATAGAAGTTTCCACTGGGGAAATCCTAAGTCAGTAACAAGGTGATCAGCCAGGTCTATTGGGTTATTTATGTCTATTACACTGCTAAATTGAATCAGATTTTATTTAACAAGACATTGAGTCCAAAAGGTCCCTAAAAACAAATTCTGTGCAGTAGTTGAGTGAAGATCTCCACTATTTACCCTAGAAAGGCAGGGGAAGCTTTTACCATTTTGATTTGCACAGATACGTGAAACAAATGAAAAACTGAATGCTTCAGGTTCAACAACAGCTAAAGATTTCTTCCCCATAGCAAAGGTGTTGCAATTCTGTATGTCCTTTCTCTGTGCTGTCTTGCCCAAGACACAAAGGCACATGTTAACTTCCCAGTGTGTCTGCTCAGTCCGTATCAAGTGATGATAGAAGCCATGCAGGCGTGGATTGAGAGAATGAAACACAAAGACCATCCGAGTCACAAAGAAAAAGAATGTGCTCACAGTCGCTTTGAAAGCTGAACTGGCAGCTCGAATTGTGTAACGATATAAGCTCTTTCAAACCACTTCTTCTGTCCTTCAACAGTATGTTTGAGTACAGAAGTTGGAGTAGGGGTAGTTATACTTCCTTGTGATAAAAACTTAGGATCCCAAGATAAACCTAACTGTCCTGTGAAGGAACTGATCATCATGAAATTTATTTGAATTTGAAACTTGTTGTACCTTTTTCCATGGAAGTATTTTTTGTCAAATGGTAGTAATGGAGCTTTAAAAGGAACACATCTGGATTTTTCTGGGGTCTGGCTGTAGTTAATCTCTGTTTCCCTCTCAGCTGATGATCTTCCTCTGATCTAAGCTAACTGCTGGACTGCCTATTATTTTAACCTGACTGCATTTGCTCTTGCCAGAATTATTTAGTGACTTACATGAACATGTTTTAGATATTCCATGGAAGTCTAAATAAACACAGGCGATTTAAAAAAAAAAAGAATAAATTGTATGATCAAATCCTGTCTGGAGCTATTACGGGTACTCTGTGTCATGGAGTCTGTTGTATAAACTGACCAAATTCCATCTCAATACTAGTCAGTCTTCCTCTGCAGATGAATGTTATTCCTTTCAGGAGGACATTACACAATGTCTTGGCTCTGATGCCTTGCTCCTCTATTTTTCCTCTGAAATGCATCTATGGTCTCTTCTTACATATCTATTTTTGTGGCTATGTGTGCTTTAGGGCAAACATTTCTTCACTATCCCTGACATGTATCCTTCTTTATAAATTATAAGAAACAACTCTCTTCCTTTCTGCAAAATGAAGCTAGCCATGCATTTTTAGTCATTTAAAATCTATCATCTATTCCCCACATCCTCCTGGTAACCTTCTCCATACCAGTTTAAACTTGTACTGATTTCTATTGAACATGGGTGACTGAAGTTACATGCAATATTCTAAGTGAGGTTTTACCAGTGCCTTGTGCAATAGTAGTAACACTTCTGTTTCTACAATGGAAGTATATAAATCAGAGGATGATATAAATCTCTAAGGGCAGAAGTTCTTACAGTGAACTGTTAGACTTCATTTCCCTTACTCTAATCTACAGCATCCCCCAGTCCTTCTTCTAACAACATTATGAAGTTCTCCATCTGTACTTAAATCTTACTTGAGGATTTGTAGCAGATAGCTATCCTTTTACTATTAATTTTCAAAGTTTCTTTTTTTTACTCCATCACCCACATTTTCTTTTGTCCTCACTTAACCTTTAAGTCCTTTTGTCCTTAAGTTTTTCACATTCCTGTCATGGCAGTTAAGAAATTATATTGAGGGCATCTTCAGAAGTAAGCACAGAAACAGGCCAAATTTTATGCTGATGATATGATTCAAACAGAGGATTAGGAAAAGATGGTGTAGTAGGAGAAGTCTTTGTCACAAATCTTTCCCTTTAAAACACCCAGAATTGCTGCTAATGCCTCTATGTTTCGCAGTTAATGGATGTCTCGGTCCATGCAATGCACTGGAGACATGCTATCAGGAAATCTGGAAGGATGTTTCTACCTTCTTATTGACTGGTTTCTAATTTCTTTGTCCAGTGACACAGATAGTTCAGAAAATTCATGCCAGGACATGTTGCTAAGGCAGCCAGTTTAGGATTCTGCTTCTGTCAGAATCTTATATCTGGTCCTTTAGATAAAAGGGAGCAATTTCACTGTAGTGTAATTGTCTAAAATTTTAGTGCTGATGTAGGAGAAGAAAACTCCATCAAGTCCCACTTCTCAGCTAGACAGCCTCCTTGCACCCTGAACAGCAATAATTGGTCATATAAGCCTGTAGAAATCCAGGAGTGAAAAGAGTTTGATGGACCCTAGGTTTACTTTTATCCTCTTTTACATTGAGTAAGAGAGATACTTCAGTAGCAGTAGTATATGGAGACAGTCCTACTCTACTGTTTGCGTTGAATACTGTAATCATTGGTTTAATAAGTGTATTGAGACAGTCAATGGCTTTTTTGTTTGTTCACTTTATTACCAGGGTCTTTTCACCTTATTCACTTGATGTTTGATGACTACGTATTGTACCTGCTAGAATCACTCCATTGTCAGGAGAGAGCTAATGAGCTAATGAGGGCAATGAAAGGAGAAGGAAGCACAGGTGAGTTTGTTCTTCTATTCATCTTTTGCTGAATTCCACTGGATTCACTATTTTCTGTTAGGACATTTCTTTAACCTCATTTAACCCTGTGAGGCTTATCTAGGAGCAACAGTTTTGCAGTTTCAGTGTTATTTGGAATAAGTAATTAGTGAGGGCGGCATGCCTGGTTAATGCATTCTGAAAGGGGTCTGCTTGTTTCGTGAGGTAACTCTGGATGTTTGAAACCTGTGGTGGTTTAAGCCCAGCTGGTAGCTCAGAACTACGCAGCAACTCTCTCACTCCCCTGCTTCTTCCTCCCCACCCTGCTCCAGAAGGGATGGGGAGGAGAATTGAAAGAACTCCCACAGGTTGAGATAAGAGCAGTCCAGTAACTAAGGTATAACACAAACCACTGCTGCTACCACCAATAATAGTAATTATAAGGGAAATAACAAGGGAAGAGAATACAACCGCTCCCCACCCACCGACTGATATCCAGCCTGATCCAAGAAGTGATCTAGCCCTTCCGGGTAACTGCCCCCAGTTTATAGAGTGGGCATGACGGGCTGTGGTATAGAATACCTCTTTGGTTAGTTTGGGTCAGGTGTCCTGTCTCTGCTTCCTCCCAGCTTCCACTCCTCCCTGGCAGAGCATGAGACTCACAAAGTCCTTGGTCAGAGTAAACATTACTGAGCAACAACTAAAAACATCGGTGTTATCAGCGCTGTTCCCAGGCTGACAGTCAAAAACACAGCACAGCACCAGCTACTAAGAAGGAGAAAAATGACTGCTACTGCTAAACCCAGGACAAAACCCCATTCCTAAACACATACTTGGTGTTTCAGTAAGAGACTTTTGTACTGAACCTTTTACCTTAGTTGATCTGCTTAAGCCACCATTGTTTTTCAGTGGACCCAGTCTTGATTTCTGTTTTTTTCTCAAACTCTTGCCCTGGTTTAACACTGAATAAATTCACCGATACCAGTGAATTTGTACCAGTCTAAGTAAGAGGGAGATAGAAGAAGTGAGCAAAGTAAAAATGCAAAGCTATTATTTCTAGTAGACTCACGGTTCGAGTGCATGTACAGAAGCAGATTATGAGTCCTTCTCCACTCTACACTGTCTTGCCAGAAAGAAGCAAGCAGAGATTGCCTTTAGTCCTTCTGCTCAGGCCAACCACCTTATAGTTAGGGGTCCTCAGTGGTCTTCCTTCCTTGCATCTCCCATTACTTTTGGCAAGTTAAACCCATCTGTCACCTTTGGAAAGTTCGATTCTCAATTTTAGCTGTGGCTTAATTTGTCATCCTGTAGATTTATGAAAGGAAGAACATTTTGGTGATTAAGGTAATATCTCCTATGTGTTGAAAGACCTGGATTTAATTCATTGCCCTGCTGTAGCCTCTTGCTTTTTGACAAACAAGTTGCTTATCCTCGTATACTTTCCATATACCTTTAGCAGCTAGAACTATCCAGAGGGCCATCATCTTTAGTCAGTGAGGAAAGAAGGTCATGATCAAAAGCCAGTGGAATCCCCTGAAGATTCATGTTTCTTTCCAATGTCTCTCGAAGGAGTAGGAGTGCCTGACTCAGACTGGACTCTTAATTTTAGGTATCTAATAGTATGTCAGGAATATAAGTCTTAAGCTGTCTATGAACAAGTTTCCTATCTATACAATAGGAAAAGTAGCACTTTCTTTTAAGAGGTCTTATAAAGGTACACTGAAGGCTGTAATGCTGAATGTTAAAGATTTTCTTTCAAAGATTTGTGATTCCTGTGACGCACTTCTTAAAATACAGACTACAGAATTTAACTGCTTGTGTTAATTTTTCTTGTAGTTTCTCAGTGTTCCTTGACTTTGTGTTTTATGATGATTTTTCTCTCATTCTGCAGCAGAAATACGAGATGAAATTATTCTGAGTGAACCAGCTCCTCCAACTCCCTCTCCAGTGCCGTTCTCCCCAGCTAAATCAGCCACTGCAGTGGAAGTGCCCTCTGCCCCCTCACTTGTCAGCAATCAGTCCCCAGAGTACAGTGGCATAGCAGCTACGACAGGTAGGTAGGTTTATGGCAGCTGGATCTGCTTGAACATGGTTTTTGCACTTGGTTATCTGAAATTGAGCCTGGGAACATGAGGTGCTTGTTTTCAAGAGATGAGAAGCCTTCTCAAACAGAAATCTGTTTAAAGTATCAGTTATGACTTCACTGTATCCTAACGTGATGTGCAGTCTAACAGGAAAAAGATCGGATATTTGGACATTTTACATACTTCAAGGAAACATGCCAGATATTCAGTGAGGTTTTCAAAATCCTAAACCACCTGTGGTTCAGGAATTCCTAGCGGGTAAAATGGGAATTGAATATCTTTCCATATATTTGAGGCTTAAATTTGTCTAAATAGATGTGCAAGTTTCCCTTGGGAATGTTTTACACATCACTGATAACTTCATCTTTCATGCAGTAGGAACTACATGTCTGAAGTCTGTTTTCAGTTGCATACTTTATATGGAAACTTATGAAGTGGCTGTATTCTGGTGCAGAGACTGGTTCAGAGACTGTTTAACCTACAGGTTAAAAAACCTGTGCTTAAAGGTATTCTACTTGTGGGCAGGATTGACAGAACAGTAAGCAAAAAAACCCCAGTAACCAGCTTCTCGTTTGGTCTGTATAAATGGGCAAGTATCATCTGTACTCTAATGTGAAACTTACTAATTACCTTTTGGATATGAGCAGGACATTCTGTCTGTGTGATCAAAAGACAGTGTTTTCTTAACTTGTGGAAAATAAAGCAGAAATATGAATGACTTTCAGACAGTGAAATTCTGGCTTTGCTTCTCAGTGAAAAGATTGTATAATCAGAATGTGGAAACTATCACTTTTGTTGCATACTAGAAAAGCTATAAAACCTTCTTGAAAGAATGTCAGAAAGTGATGATCTACCACACTGGGGAATCTGGCAATGGCTAAATCTTTCTGACAAAAGTTCTTCCTGTTTCAAAGGCGCCACAGGGGAGGACAATGTATAGTTGTGGTGGGAAGAGATTTAAGAACGTTCATCCCTTCATCAAAACTTAAGGTCTTACCACTGTTAGAGAAAATACAATATTTAGGAGGGAAATAGGATGCTATTATCCCCAGATCAGTTAGACAAGAGGCACGTGATTCCTAGATACTGCAGGTGAGAACACTGCTTTAGATCAGGCAACGATGGAGGTGGTGTATATGTTTGAGTCTTGTTGAAACTCTGATTTTGTGGGCAGCTTGATCCAACAGGATTGTTGTGATGTTATAACCAGAACTCTCTATGATGCAGAACTGTACTCAGAAGTAAAAGACACAGTAGGGAACTGTACTTTCCAGTGGCATTGACAGGAATGGAGAATTGAAGGGCTTGTGCTTAAGCTGCAGAGACTGTAACTCTGTGTGACTATCATAACTATTAACCAAAAGCTTATTCCATAGAGTAGCTTTTGTCACCTTCCTGACCTTCCACCTTCAGCTTACTTGACATGCAGATCTGTGCAGACCTGGGAACTGCATGGATCTTACGTAACCCTCCTGAGTCCCACCAGTAATGCAAGGGAATGGACTCACACAATCATTACAAATTAAATTTGATGATGAGTTTTTTGTTTTCATGTTATTATTTTATTATAGTCTATTTTATTCTCTCCCTCTATTTTTTTTATGTCCTGGTAAGGCCCAAGTCTGATAGTGTGAAGTTTCAAGCCAGAAACAGTATCATTTGGGAACAATGGTTGAAGGACCTACTCCCACAGTACAGGCAGTAGAACTTGGCATAGTTGTTCCCATAACAGAATTTCTTAGGCAAGAAATCTATTTCTGATTATTTTGGCTCTCTGTTTTTTCCAGCTTTTCATTTTTAGGTTGTTTTAAAAACTTTTGTTTCATGGAATTGGATTTTATTCTTACGGTTTGGTATAGTCTCACTTTTGTGAATGTGAAAATGATTTTTTGCCTTGCAATACCCAAATTTGTCAATGCAAGTAGTGGTCAAGATTAAATATAAGTATATAGCTATTTTGTGGTCTTAATTTGGGCAATTAGTTGTACCTCCGTTTTCCATACTCATCATGTAGATGAACTGATCGGCTTTTTCGTTTGCTAATCATTAACAACTGTGTTTCAGCTATAGGAAATCATTATCCTTTAAAATGGGAGTGCTGAAGATGTATTACATCAAACTATTCCACATACAGATTTGTGGCATTAAGATACAGAATATTTTGGAAGACAAACCACTGTTGTGGGGAGATACATTTAAAGTACACTCTTGATTTTCTTATGTGTCTTTTACAAGGTAAATGTAAAAGACTGCAAATGTTCTGCAGATTGTGAGAACTAGTTCCATTGGTTACCACTAGCTCTCAATTCCCTAATTTAAGGCATCATTAACTCTTTCTTGCTTGTGGCATTAGTAATAAAAGTTAACTATTAAACTTGCATTTTAACCTTTTTGCCTTCAGTCAGTGGTCAGTATAAAACCATCAAATTAAACTGTTGCAATTACATGACACTGGGCAAAAGAAAAATAAATCCTATCCATTCTATGGATAGATAAATCCTATCTATTCTGTAGTAGAACATCTGGCATGGCTCAGCTAACATTGTATTTAAAACTTTTTGTTAAGTTACGAGACATTTAAAAGGATAATTTGTCTCCATCCTTTCTAAATCACAAAGGCCAGATTAATGATTGTCCAAACTGCAACAATATTGTAATAAAAGTAATAGCTATATGGCTGACTATGCTATTCTTTCTTAAAGCCCCTCTTAAAGCTGTAATTACTCATTTGCCAATGCAATGGCTTTTAGACAACCTAAAATGAACTCTGAATTGTAAGTAGCTCCTAATATGTAAGTAAACTTTAGTTACAAGAAATGCCTGTGTGATATAACTCTCCAGGTCAGCAATGGTCATTTAAGGTCACTGTTCTTCCCAGTCTAGGCTGGGTATTAAAGTTCTGGGAATCTGGCACAGGAGGTACTTGCACAGAGCTATCACATCTCATATTTGCGTGTGTAAGTAAAACAAATTTCTGTTTTCTTCCTAAAGCTTCAGCTCCTGGACTTACATGAACATATAAGAACATCAGCTCTTGTTCAACAATCAATTTAATTCCCATAGCTGCAGAGTGTAAAAGTCAAAGGTTCCAATTTCAAAAGGCAATTTTCCCCTTCAAAATGGAAGGGTTCGTGGTTTTATTCTAAAGCTGATAGTTAAAATAATCTCTTCATTGTATGAGGGCAGATTGGGGGTCTGACTACAGGTTTCTGATTGCTTGAGGTTGACAGTACCACTTTTACTAGCAGAGATAATGCACAGTGCTACGAGTGTCTTGCTTGTACCTGGGTGGTCATTTGCACCAGCATAAAGCAAAGATAAAATGCAGCATCACAAAGAAACTTTTGTTTCTTTCTGCAGTAGTGTGCATGATGGCACCAATAACAACAGGAACGCTGTTGGACTGATAGCAGTTTCATCTACATTTTGGCTCTCCTACAGGTTAGATGGCCTCTTGGTTAGTATATCCTCAAAATCAATTTTTTCATTAAAAAGGAAAAGAAGAAGGAGTGATAATAAATGAACTTCCCTATTTTAATCAAATCCTGAATGCTCAAAACACAAAGCAGAGCAAAATGTTGCTCAATCACTATTGTTTTTGCTTATTTCAGAAAGCACTTTAGTTGGGTTGAACCATATCTAAAAAAGACTTCATCTCCTGGAGTTCAAATCTGCAGCCAGCTGAGGAAATTGATCATGTAGAACTGGGGCATAGGCGGGTATTAAAAAGCTGACTATTAAAAACTTCCAACTTAACTGGTTCCTCCTTTTCCACCAACACGTTGGCAGTATCCTGGTTGACCTGATATATACACACACACGGTCTGCAAATCTGTTGTCACCTTCTGTCCTTCCTCTCTGCCTTTGTGAGTAGGCCACTGAAAGTACCAGGATCCCTTCCACAGAGGCAGAGAGAGCGAGGCAGCTGTAGAACCCCAAGAACATCCTTTAAAAAACCACATTTGAACACCCCAAACATTTATTTCAAAATTGAAATGCCAGTTAGGCTTGAATGCCAGGAGTGGCCAAGTCCTCTCATCCAAGGAGTCTGACTTCCCAAAGGGAGCACATGAAACACCTAGCTGTTCTGGACTGACTCATTTTCCTCACACTGAGATAAGATCCCTACTATTTTTCAGGCAAAGAAGAGGAGGCTGTCACAATAGCTAGTGACAGGCAAATCAACCATATTTGGTAAAATGCAAAGGATCTTCTGGTCCTGTTATTACCATTACTATTTCTTTATAGAGCTAAGAAGGTTATGAGACTTTTGGATCAATGGCAGGTGTTTTTTCTTCTTGGAAAAAATAAAATCAAGTCAAAGTAAAACTTTTGTTTTATAGTGAATTTAAAAAGTGAAAATAACCTCAAAACCCAACAGTAATGTTACCTAAACATACGCATTTGGGGGTTTTTACCATCTTTGTTGTGCTTTTCTTCATTTTCCTTTTGGTTTTGCCTTTTGAATTTATGCCTGTTCTGAGAGAAAATTTCAAATTTTCTTTTGGAAAATAATACAAGGAGAAGAAGTTGACCTTTTGAAATACAAATATTTCACAGACTAGCTGTTGATACTTACATTTTCAACAGTTTTTCTCCTGCTTTCAAATGAAGCTATTTGGTGAGCATATCAGTAGTTTTGCCCCCTTCCACATAAACTCTCTTTTCTAGTGAAGAGAATTTTCCTTAAAGATTTTCTTCAACTCAAGGAACCATGACATCCTCAGGAACCCTGATGCTTCTCTTTGGTCTCAGGAATCTCAATGGTCCTCTGCAATGGGAGCAGATGAAAGACTAAAAATCCAAGAATCAGTGACAGAAAATGCTTTTCATTCCCCAAAACCATGGACTGGACACAGACCTGGTAATACAATCACTTCCGCTACTGAATTAGGCCCTTTCATACTACAGGAAGTCCTAGAATCCACACTGAAAAAAACGAGTCACCTCCTGCAATTCCTTTTAGCTAGTGAAAAAGAGTCAAGAGTGCCCAGAGACCCCCAAACCAGTGTTCGCATTGGGTTAAATTCAGTGTTCTGGTCCTCATTTGCAGGGTAATCTCAGCCAGTATGGTCATGACCTCCAGCAAGAGCTATGTTATACTGGAACAATGGATCTGTCAGCCTCCTGAGTGAAAGGGGTGTGTGCAAAGGACAAAGGTTTCTCAGCAGCTGGCTCATGAATCTGGAGTTCCTGCCTGGAAGGGATCAGGATGATTAAAAAACTCAGCACCTTCCAAGCAAAATGGAAAACCCACTTCTTTGCTTTGCTCTTCGCACAAATGCTCTACATGAAAAAATAAATTAAGTCCAGTCTCTGCCACCTCGAAAGAAGAAAGAAACATTATCTGTGGGAAGAAAATGTCTAGGCTATTTCTGTCCCTATATATTTGTTATACTTTGGAGATCTACCACTGTGTCGCCACTACAAAAGCTGGTACCTAGCTGGGTGGAACAAGTACAAACTGCAAAAGGAGTCAAGAAATTTATTTGCGCAATACCCATTTTTTCTAATCCTTCATTGTTCCGATCATACTTCCTGCCTCAGTCCAGCCTGATCAGCTTCAGAGCTAAACAGGCCAGCAGCCCACGCCATGTGAGAGAGACCTCAGGGTTTGCTGCATCATGCCTCAGAAATTCTAGCACTGGTGTCCCTCCATTTCTAAATCCTATCCCAATTCTTGCTGAAAAATGATTTCAAGACCACACTGAAAGTTCACAGGCTGAGCCATTCCAGATACATCTCTTACCTCTGGACCTTTGCACGCTCCAGCTGATCTATTTGTGTTCTTATTTATTCCTCAGATATGGCTGTTTAATTCAATGTATTTGATGCTGTTTCTGTTACCATTGCCTGTTTGGTTGATTTCCTGTAACTGTCTCAAAGCGTAACATCTCTATAGATGAAAGCCTATGTTCCTTTAACGCTTGTTTGCCTGCAGGGGCTATGCAATCCTATACGTGGTCACTCACCTACACTGTGACAACAGCTGCTGGGTCGCCTGCTGAAAATTCCCAACAGTTGCCGTGCATGAGAAGTCCACACGTACCATCATCATCTGTCACACACCGGATACCTGTTTACCCTCACAGAGAAGAACACGGGTAAGTCCTTTCCCAGTGGCCTGGTTTTTTGGAAGTTTTTTGCTTGTTTGTGGAATTTTGTTTGTTTTCTTCGATAAAATTATGATTAGGGATTTTTTGGGGAAATACAATGAACTTGGTCTCTTGATGTAGTAAGTCTTGGTAATATCATGATTCTTTGGCTGTTGTTACTGTGGCATGCTTATATTATATATCAGTTTTATAAGTTCATTTAATTCTATTTTAAAACACAGTAGGCCCAGAGAATACTTTATGAAAGAGAGGGCTTCAGTAGATTTCTTCTCTGATTCCTGTTTTCCTGTGCCGAAAGGCTAGAGGTCCCCAAAGAATGACCCTAATATACCATGTCTCAGGTGAGGTAATCCTTCTTCTCTACTCAGCACTGCTGGGACCACATCTGGATCCAGTTCTGTGCTCCCCAGTACAAGTCAGACACAGCCATACTGGAGTAATTCCAAAAAAGGGCCACTTAGATGACTGCAGGACTGGAGCATCTGTCTACAAGGGAGGCTGAGAGAACTGTGATTGCTTAGTAGTAGGAGACAATGACCATCCCCCTGATGCAGGTGAACTTCACACTAAATGCAGACTCCTGGCCACCCACCATACCTGAAAGTTTCCTAACAAAAGTTCTACTGGACTTCCTACCAGTCTTGCACATTAAAGATGATGCTCTGTGAATTATAAAGGCTCCAAATGGTCTTGAAATAGAAAGAGAATGCATAAAAGATCAAGCACATTATATCACAGTATTCCACAATGCTAAGACACTTAACTGAAACCTCATTACTCAATAGCTATAGATGTGGTTTAGAAGACACTGTAAGACATGGTACTTGGCAGAAAATTTCTTTGTTGGATTTTTCTGGTACACTTTCTTTTTGGAGAGATGGAGGGTTTCACAGACGAGCACTTTCAAATCTAGGCAGAATACTAGCCTTAAAGGAACACAGTCATCTTCTCAGGTTGTCAGTGCTCTCTCTTCTGAATTTGATGAGAGAAAGAGGAAGCTTCCTGGACCAAAAGTACACAATAGAGATTATAATAACAAACTTTATCACTCTATGCTCAAGAGCATTAAAATGCTATATTTTAGCAAGAAGTGATGAGTGAAAGAAGGAGACAAAATTAACAGCAACCAGACTAGGACATAGCATCCTTAATGACTGCAGAAAGCATGAAGTGCAAATACTGCCTTACAGGACTTGTTTTCGTTTGGGAGTCCAAGAATACCCAGACTACAGGAGGATTAGATAGGCCAGCACCTTCTTGAAGCAAAGAAGGCTGCGCTGTCCATGTCAGGCTTATGCAGACTGCCAAAAACATCTGCTGCACGTCTTACTTACGAGTTTATTGTGTTGAAGGAATTAAAACACAAGATGTCTGCCTACCGCAAAAGTGTGCAACAGCTCCATAGCATAGCCATTCCTCTCCTCCGCTCTGCACAGAGAGACTATTAAAGACATTTTATTTGGGCACCAGCTTGTCTGAGGTGGATTATGGAAACCACTCAGATTTACAGCTAAGCCTAAATGAGCAGAAGAGTGAGAACTCAGTGTTGAACAGTGAAGATGAACATAGGGCCTTATGCCCCAAAAATACTTTTAGAAGGGGTGCTCTGCCTTCATTTACAATCTACTGCATTGTACGGTATAAGACAGGACATGGTAGCTCTAGAACACCACCATAAGATCAAAAGAATAACAGAAATTTAAATTGCACCCAATGTAAAAATTATATTGAACTTTCCAGAAAAAGAGTACATCTCTACAAATAACTGTTTTCTCCTTCACACAATGAATCAGTTACCTTATTTATTTATTATGGTTTGTATTTCATTGTATTTCATCGTGTTTCATTAAGCAGGTTGAGAGAAGGGACACGAAGATGCTCAGGGGGCTGGAACACCTCCCCTGGGTGGACAGGCTGAGAGAGTTGGGGTAGTTCAGCCTGGAGAAGTGATAGCTCTGGGAATACCTTAGAGCAGCCTCCAGCGCCTAAAGGGGGCTTACAAGAAGGCTGGAGAGGGACTTCTTATTAGAAAGTGTAGTGATAGGAGTAGGGGTAATGGTTTTAAACTGAAGGAGGGTAGGTTTAGATCAGTTACTAATTATTAGGAAGAAATTCTTTACTGTGAGGGTGGTGAGACGCTGGCACAGAGAAGTGCCCAGAGAATGGTCAGGAGAAGTTGTGGCTGCCTCATCCCTGGCAGCACTCAAGGCCAGGCTGGCTAGGGCTTTGACCAGAAGGTGTCCCTGCCCATAGCAGGGGGACTGGAAGTGGATGATCTTTAAGCTACTTTCCAACCTAAACTATTCTGTGATTTCAAATAGCATTCTTTTAAGAACTTTCAAACTTCTGTATTCTTCAGTCAGCTGTGATAAGGCTGTATGTTGAGTACATCAGATGCAGATTAATACATCTCTCTCCCTCCCAAAAAAGGGACCTCTGAACATAGCACAAGGATATAGCTGAACTCCACAGTATAGTCCTTTAAGTTAAATCTCACCACAGTTCCTCAGCCTGGATAGCAATGTACTAGAAACATTGCAATAAAATAATAATAAAAAGGAAAGACACTTTCTTCTTAGAAAGGGCATAAATGAGCCTATAATTTAAAACACGTCACAGAAACATGCTGAGTCTCCCTATATGTTGTTGTGTTGAATGTATAATTTCACTAAGTGGCATCTGGCTTCCCATCTGAGCTGGGAAATACCTTTTTTAAAAGGTTATTTAGAATACCATTCTCCTATTCAAAAAGAGTGCAACTGCATGTTTCATAAAAGTTCTAGAATTATTAGTGGGAATACAATTATTATGCATACTAAACAGTGTTTTTTAACGGATTTTAGATACACAGGAAGTTACAACTATGGTAGCTATAGCAACCAGCATCCCCACCCAATGCAGAGTCAGTATCCATCTTTACCACATGATACTGCTATTTCTGGACCACTTCACTACTCAGCTTACCACAGAAGCTCTTCACAGGTAAGTTGGATTTATTACTTGATAATGGTTACTATAACATTTTAAGTTGTGCTTGTAAATTTATCATTATATTAGCTGTCTGAATCAAAAAGCTCTCATCAACCTAATCATTTATGGTTCTCAATTTTTTTCTTTTCTAGTATTACCTAGATATCTTTTCATTTCGGTGCAGATTCTTTTATCTAGAAGTAGCGTTAGATTGTGAATTTAAAGTACTAACTGTAAAATTCAGGATTCTGGATCATAGAAAGTATTTCTGGGTTAAGGAGTAGCTAAAACAGAAATTAAAATAATTAGTTGTATGTTTTTTAGCTGTTGGGAACAGGAAGAGATTCCTAACAAGAAATAAAAGTGGTTTTATCTAGCTGAAAAACAATGCAGAGGCCACTGTTTCTTCTGGGGCCTCTGCTTTTGAGAATACACGTGTTTAGGAATTGTGAGTTCTGCATGTAGGTTGAATAGCTTCAGGACACCACTGCAAAGAGGTTCTGCTTAGCCTGTGTTATTTAGCCTCCTACTATAACGCTGCAAAATTATGTCAGTAACTACTCAAGACTAATTTTTCCATAAAACTGGGCCAGTAGGAGCTAGCACAGGTTAATTGTGAAGCTGATATTTGGCAAGAGTTCAAAACCAGTGTCACTGTAGGAGAGCTTTTAGTACATCATGCAGTTGGTGCTTCCCCAGTGTAGGAAGCTGCTGTCTGCTAGAAGATTTGCAAAGTCTGCCACAGGCAGGAGGTGATGGCATTGGGGTATTCCACCTACATGGCACCTCTTAGGCTTCATCTACCGGAAATTCATACAAGTATATTAGGGATGACCATGTCTAACTATTGTCACTGGCCTGGAACAGTTTCATACCAGACGCAAAGATACGAATTTGACAGTGCTTTGGACTGGAATATACAAACCCTGCACCTCATTCTTTGGTGTCATTCTGCCAGGTGAACTCAAAGTAGTAATTTCTCTTCTTTATGCTTACTTTTTCCTAGTTGTAAGATTAGATTAGAATATAGATTAGAATTAGAAAGCTTTTTGAGATCTGCTGGGAAGATTGTCCTACAGATACCCCATATGCTCATTTCAACTAGGTCAACAATGGCTTCCTAGCTTATGGAAATAAGTCATCTACAACTTTTCACCCATTTGTGTAGCACCTGGCCCATCACACTACATGAGGTGTCAGGATTTGTTTGAGGGTTGTTGCAACTGCTGTATCTTCAGTAGGAGCAGTGAGCGAACATTTAAGTATGGTGTCCTGGCTCACTGATTTTCTCTACTGTCGGTGATGTCCTTTACTGCAGAAAACCCGTCTAAGTGCTGGTTCTGAAATGATCTGTAAAGCCATGAATCTGTGTGTAAACAGGGAATTAGGCTCTTCCTGTTTGGAAATGTTACCACCCACACAAAGAGTTTCTTTCTACCCTCTGACAACTGTCTGTCACACTGACGTAGACAGCACAAGTTAAGCAAGAAATAAATAAAGCAAAACACATTTTTAGATTACTCTTGTCCTGGTGAACGTGTTATAGGGAAACAGTAACATGCATTAAAATAATGCATATATTTTTCATACTGTAGTAATCTGCCTCTACAAGTGCAGATGTCAGATCATTTCTTCCCTTCTTGTTAGCCCTTAAACTGTCATGAACATACCTGAAGAAGAGCTACCCTTTAATGATCACACCTGAGAGTAAACTGATTTCAACTTGTATTTAGCATGTTCTTTCTCACGTTGCCTGTAAACTGAGATGGAATCTCAGAGCAGGACACAGCTAACAAAACCCTATCAAATGTGCTTATTCTGTATTGAAAGGAGCTACAGACTGAAACCTTACTTTCAAAAATAATCTATAAGTCTTGAACAGTTTAATATGGAATTTGATGACATTTTTTTCAAAGCTGGGTGAACTTCTATAAAATGCCTGCCCTGACGATTAGCTCTTTGCTAGCTACTGTTAACAAAAAAGGTTCATAAGATGTCCCTAATAAGATGTTAGGGAACTACTCTTTCCCTAGTGGACTTTCTGAGAGGAACATGGGGCAAAGAATTGCAGTAGGACTCATGATGTCGCAAAATCAACATACAGGAAGCCAAATGTGCAATGAATATATAAACAGCTGCCACTACACTAAAACTGGAGGAGATGCAGTGTGTATGGCTGTGGTAATAAATCAGTTGAAAAGAGGAGACATTGACCGTAATTCTTCAAAAGAACTCTTTGTTATAATCTACATTCAGTCCAAATATAGAACTCTGGCTCAACTTCAGCTAATATTCTTCATGCTCCTTAGGATAGTGTCTATGGATTAACTCCTAAGGAAAAAATCTGTGTGGGGGTAGTTTGTCCTCTACAAGCATGGGTTCAGAGACAGACCTTGTCCCAGACAGGGGTATAAACCAAAAGAGGCGAAGTCATTGAGCTGGGTTTTAGGCTGCAGCTATAAATTGCTATCTTGGTCTTGAAGAACACCATGTCTAACTCTCTTCTGCAGAAGAGAGTTACGTATTCCAGGTTTTATAAGGCCAGATATTTTGGGGCTATATTCAATCCCAGAAAAATATTCCTATTGAAAAACAGAGTTGTAATTGATTTTTTGGTGGATTACTTAGTAGAACTTGAAGATGGATCAGTTCATAGATAGAATTTACAGACCATCAACAAACAAACTGGAATTGGACCAAAGGGGATGGAGGAAGTAACTTTAATTTGGTGAAAGTGAGGAACTGAACAGCTGGGAAAGAGGCAAGGAAGGGAATAAGTGAACCTTTAAATTTAATTTGCCAACATACAGCATGCTGACATCTACCCGAAAATACACTTATAGTTGCATTGTATTAATTTTGGGATGTCTGCTGTGGTTTTGCCCCCTGTAATCCTTACAGTGGAGATGTGCTGGGGAAAAAGTCCCAGAGCTGTAGATATTGTACCAAGTAGAGCTCTTGAAACATACAGGTGGGGGTCCCAAGCCAAGCCTATCTCACCTGACCTGTGACATTCGTTTTGGTGAGAGGCTTCTGGATAATTTGAATTCCCTAATGTTAGAGGAAATAAGACAGCAGTAGTTGCCAAGGCTGATACTGCTGAAGCACCGTGTATGACAGCTGTGTGCTCATTCACATCCTGTTCTGTAACAGAATGGTGAGAGCCCTTGAGGGTTTTGCTATCTCCCATCTCTGAGGTATTCTTGGAGCTTACCTTGGCCCCCAGAGGACTGTGGTAAGTATCTTGTGACTCTGGGATAAATAGAAATTTTTATAAGTAGCACATGGTTTCATAAAGATCACTGGCTTTCAGATGGACAGGAAGGGGCAAAAATGGAGGAGATGGCTTGTAAAAAACTTCATAGGGGAGTAACTGTTCTCCTGAAGTAGTATCTGCAGCTACTAACCCAGCATAAGCATAAACCTGACTCCTTCTGGCAGTATAGGCTGACTAATTCCCAGGGATGGCTAAGAGCCTTTTTGTTGACAGCGACAGTCTGTTCAAACCTTGGTCTTAATCCGACTTTTTTTTCCCCTTTCATCAGCATCTGCGAATAGTTCTCAGAACAGTTGCTTCCTTGTAACTCCAGGCCTGATTGCTCATCTCTTGACTTGGCTTACTGGCCACGAGCCTGTCACAAAGAAAAGTGATCTACAGATTGATTTCTTACTACCTAATTCTCCAAGCTGTAGCGCAGAAGTGCATACAATCCTCTGATGCTGTTCTGTCATCATATATAAGGGGACTGTGTAATATGTGTACATAAACACACCTATACTCACACTACATTTTGTCAGTTCTCTGCCTCTGAAGTAACAAATGCCAGGGTAGAAAACAGACATCAGCTCTTTCTAAAAACCTGTGAGTGTTCTTAGCAACCTATGCTGAGCTTAGCAGAGAGGTACCTCCTTCAAAAGTAATCCCTTCACAATGTCGCCACCTAATCCACATCCATAGCGGACACTTGACTGGCTTTTGATCACAGTTTTTGCCTACAAGTTCACACTGGCAGGACAGGTCTTGATACTTTCCCAGGCTATCCATAAATATTTTAATTCATACCATTTCACCTCTTCCTTAACGTAACTCATGCTGCAGTAATTTTTCTCTGTAAATCACAAGGACAACACTTTTAGTAGGAAGAGTAGAGAAATCTGCAGCAGTATATATATATTCTGTATTTTTATATTTTAATATATCTGGTAACATGTAAAGATAAGTATCATACGAATGTGCATCCGTATACATCCACTACAAAAAAGTCAAGCATACAATATATATGTGTAAGTACTCTAATGCATGGCTGCAGTGAATCCTATTGTAGGTCCATTTATTCAGGTTCTCTCTCCAGTAATGGCCAGAAATGAATGTGTCTTACAGTAAGCAGACGGTTGTCCTTTCACCAGCATAGCCCCACTGTCTTTGGCAAGAGCTGACCTAGGGACATGCTGAGTAGGAAGCAGAAGCTGGACTGTTGGATTTTGTAGCAAACTGCCCTCCATTACCCTGCTTTTGAGCTTTTAAGTTCATTTAGCTTTTTTTTTTTCTATACTGGTAGATTTAGGGATGGGTTACGTGAGCCATATGTTCTCTTATTAAGTCTGTTATTTCAGAATTGCATTGGGTGCCCTATGTTTTTTGGGTGATGAGGAATAAGTAATAATCATTCCTTATTTATCTACTCTGGCCATTCAAGACATTATAGATCTGAATCATTCCTCTCACCTCCTTCCTGTCATCTCTTTTCCAGACTTAAAAGTCATCATCTGTTTAGTTTCTCTTGTAACGGATGCTCTATACACAGGAGTTACCTAAGGACAGCATGTGCACTGCAGGGCAGGTGTAGTCTGGGGAACATGCAGTCATCCTATTCTTTCAATTGGCCTGAGTAGGGAACCTGCTGCAGCTGCAGCTCCCTTCCAGCCTTCCTGTGCAAACCTGATCTCAGATTAGCCAGGAAAGACTCAGTGAAGAAGCTGCCAGATCAGCCATTTAAAGATGGAACGCACTC